AAATTGTAGAATAGATAAACAAGATTACACTGTATAGCACAGGGAAATATACACAAAATGTTATGATAAATCACAGAGAAAAAATGTGACAATGAGTGTGTATATGTCCATGAATGACTGAAAAATTGTGCTGAACACTGGAATTTGACACAACATTGTAAAATGATTATAAATCAATAAAAAATGTTAAAAAAAAAACCGTAAGACAGTCAAATGCCAAATCCTGTACTTAGGTTCAAACATCAGTTTCCCAAAGGTTAAATGAGAATCTGGATTAAAGTTGAATATGTATTTAAAGGTTCAAAAAAAAAAAAAGATAAATCAGGCTTTTTCATTACTTAACCACATAGTCTTAATTTTAATAAAGCTCAGCAGACCACCATTAAGAATACTGCAGAAGCAAATGTGAAGAATAGATGATGATATATAAAAATTATCTGCAATCTGTAGGGTAATTTTAAATAAGATTATTGTATCTCTGAACTTACTTAGAACTCATCACTCTATTAACTTGGAAAGACTAATTTAATTCCTAAGCTTATTAAACAGCAGACTAATCAAGTTAGCCCTCATATGACATCAGTACTCCCCTAAATAAAACAACCAGATATTCGGTGATCTACTTCTTACAATGTAAAGGCAATATAAATACATCAAAATAAAGTGTTACATACGCTTTAAGTGGAAAACACATTTTCTTTATTCAAATCATGTTGACTCTCAGTGTATTTTGAAATAACAGAAAGTTGCAGCAAAGCTATATTTTAATTTCATCATATTCTACTCTAAATTCTTTACCATTTATCAAAAATAACTTTTTATAAAGCTTACTATTTTGTCTAATATTATACAGACTATCAATCTACACCTTTTTGTGTGTTTCTCTTAAAAATTAGATTAGCTTATGAAGATATTATATAAAACTAATTGGTATATTACACACCAAACATAAGTACAGATTCTGTACAATGTGATAGTATACACATACATCACGAGAGACTAAATACCTTGTTAAAAGTAACAGTTTAAGAAATCTTTCATGGAAAAAATCTACGTTACAAAATGTGTTGGCTTAAGTATCAGTTGCTTTCCTCTCACGAATTTCTTTCGGTGGGCATTAACTGTCCATTTAGTTTCATTAATAGTTTTACCACAAGGCCAGCCTACAAAGTAAAATATATGTTGACAATAAATATGAAATATGTAACAATGTGTAAATGACATACATGTCAGTGGGCAGTTCTCTATTTGAAAAGGAGCTTTTCACTGTTATAAGACTGCAGTAAATTATTCAGGTAAGTTTCTGGCTTTGTTTGCTTAGGAAAGGCCTGCCTTTTTCCCTTGGTCTTAAATATGTTAATTTGATATAGAGGTTTTCCTTGAAGTAAAATGGATTGTCATTAAAAAAAAAGAAAGAACATTACTAATACAGTAGAGTTTATGACTAGAAGTCCAGAATAATTGATTAGGTACTTACCTGTTTTGTATGTACTATAAAGCTCATTTTATTTTCCATACTGTGGATCTGAAAACATGTATCAGCATCTCCCAACTGCCACATAAAACAACCATACTTAAGACTGATGAGTAAAGCCTGCAACATAATTAGAAATCATTATATTGAAATATTTATTAAAAACATGTATCTTCTCTTACTATCTACACTTATCTAGTCAGGTCTAAAACATAAGTGGTTTTGAAAGTTAAAAGAAAACCTGTTCAGAGAGCCCACACTAACTTCATACAGCCTGCAGTCAGAGCCATATATATGGTAGACTGTCAGGAAACTTCCTTGAGCAATGATGTTCTTTGTATCAGAATGATAAAAATTTTTAAAGATGCCCATTCTGTGCTATTTATATATACACAGACACAAATGTGCACACAGGAATATTACTCAGCCATGAGAAGTAAGGAAATCCTGTCATTTGCAACAACATGAATGGAACTTGAGGGCACATGCTAAGTGAAAAAAGTCAGACAAAGAAAGACAAATACCATAGGATATCACTTATATGTGCAATCTAAAAAAGCCAAACTCATAGAAACAGAGTAGAATGGTGGTTCCCAGGGGCTGGTGGGTGAGGGATTCAAGGAGATGTTGGTCAAAGTAGTACAAACTTTCAGCTATAAGATGAATAAGTTCTGGGGATCTAATGTGGGACATGGTGATTATAGTTAGTAATGTTATATGTTTGACAGTTGCTAAGAAACTAGATCTTAAAAGTTCTCAACAGAAAAAAGAAATTGTAATTTAGTGATAGAGGTGCTAGCTAATGCCATGTGGTAATCATTTTGAATTATGTAAGTGTATACACTGTATACCTTAACCTTCACCAATGCTAAGGGGGCAGGCGGGGGAAGATGTCCATTCTATCAGTGATTTTCAAGAAAATTAAGTGTATTACAAGTTTTTACTTTCTGCATATAAAAAACAGTTCTTTTTGCTGTATTCAAAAGTGTCTTCATTGTATGTAAGCAAACAGACAAGTCTCTGGTGAGCATATGGAACTGGCTGAGCTGTATTTTCTCATGGGCAACTTTCATTATTCCAAAGAGAAACAAAATATAGAACGTAGAAGTAACTGAGATTAAACACACACGCACACACACACACACACAACACACACACAGCTGTATTCTATGGTTTTTCCTGAGATTTAATCTCTGAGGCTAGTTTACCCTATGTAGAGTTTTAATGCAAATGAAGGCATTTTTGCAGATGAAGATATTAAGCAAGCCTGTCAAATTCAACCCTAGCAGATCCTGGTCAATCAAAAACAACTGAGGACAAGCTGATTGTTTCCATCTTTGATGGTTTCAAAATGTATTTATCTTAGAGCTTTTATAGGTGCCAGAAATTTATCAGTTACAGAGTACTAGGTAATGCTTAGCATGCAGGAGGTTCTGGGTTCAAGTCTCAGTATCTCCTCTAAAAATAAATAAACCTAATTACCTCCCTCCACCCTGCCAAAATAAAATAATTAAATAATACAACAAAAAATAAAATAAAACACAGTTTAGAGAAAAGGTTCAGTGTTAACACCCCACAATAGCACCATACACTTAATGAAGAAGAATTTGCAGATATAGGTATAAAATGCTCTGAAACAGCAGAGGAAAAACTTCTTGAAATGATGAGGGGAATTTCTCCTTCATTTCCTTTAACAAACAGTACAATAGGAATAGAAAAAGTGGTTACAAGATAATAAGAACAGCCTATTTTTTTTTGTGAGTAAAAGAGTCTAAATAGAAAATGATAAGCAAATGACTCAAATGCAAGCTGATACCAGAGACTTCAAAATATCAAGTTCAAAGTCAATTACTGAAGTATGCCCTATGTCCCTACATATTCTTTATCTCCATTCACAGGCATATCCAACAGCATGATTAAATAACGTCTGCCCATAATGATGATACTGAGTTATCAAGAAATGACTAAACTATGGGTTACTTTCAGAAGTTATGTGATAACATAATACAGTTACAAAAATGATGAAAATAAAAAATAGATTTATGGTAAAATTTTCTAATCTAAAATGCTTTTTTAAATGCATAAACTTAGTTATTACTTTAACTGATTTGGAAAATGGTCTATTCTAGACAAATCTGAATGAATAAAATAGAGTTTTATTAGCTTCCTATTACTAACTAGAGAGTTGTTCATCCTGTAAAATGTGTTAAATATGCTAAAAGTAATTGATAATCCCATACTTTTATTATAGTGACTTTGGCTAGATGAAGGAACACAATACAGTAATAAGCCTTTTATTGAAAAGCTTGAAGTGTTCTAACAGGTATTCACAATCCCATGCACATTTCATCTTGCCCTACAAAATGTTCTTATAACTAATTCTCATTTTCAAAATGAACCACCTGTTGTCAAATATTATATTTCCTTTTTTAATTCTGTATTTTTCCACTTAAATCTAATTTATTTTTAAAATAGGTAATATAGTCACAGTTTAATTTTTTTTAAGTTGCAAAATGCTATATAGTGAAAAATGTCCCTTCTCTTATTTCCAGTTACATGGTTCCCCCCTCTAAAGTCTTTAAGAGACTTCTTATGCATAGAAAAGCAATATGTATTTATGTAAATGTAGTCTTCACTTCCCCCATTTTTGAGGTATAATTGACATATATATTATATATTAGATAACAATATGATTCAACATTTGTATATACTGCAAAATGATCATTTCAGTAAGTATCCTCAACATTCATCAGCATATGTAGTTAACAAAGTAATTTTTCTTGTGATGAATAATTTTAAGATCTACTTTCTTAGCAACTTTTAAATATGCAATACAGTTATATTAACTATGGTCTCCATGCTCTATAGTATATCCCCGTGACTTATTTATTTTACAGCTATAAGTTTGTACCTTTTGACTCCCTTCACCCATTTTGTCTACCTCCCAACTACCTGCCTCTGGCAACCAATCTGTTCTTTGCATCTATGAGCTTGTTTCTGTTTTTTTGTTTGTTTATTTTTTAAAGATTCCACATATAAGAGAGATTATATGGTATTTGTGTTTGACTTATTTCACGTAGCATAATACCCTCAAAGTCCACCCACGTTGTTGCAAATGGTAAGATTTCATTCTTTTTAATGGCTGAATAATATTCCTGTGTGTGTGTGTATGTATCTATCACATTTTCTTTATTCATCCACTGATGGACATTTAAGTTGTTTTGACATCTTGGCCACTGTAAATATGTTGCAATGAACATGGAGGTGCATATATCTTGTTGAGTTAGTGTTTTTGTTTTCTTTGGATAAATACCCATTTCCACCCATTTTTATATTAATGGTAGCATTTACATATGGTTCAGCATCTGTTTTTTTCTCCAAATATACCTTAGAGATCATCCTACACAAAAATATGCTTCATTCTTCTATATGGCTACAAGGTATTTCAATGTGGAAAGGTACTATAATTAACATGTTAACTCCCTATTGATAATCATTTCATTTTCACCCCCTATTCTTTGCCATTATAAATGAAATTATAATGAACAGTCCTCTATTTATGTCATTTCTAGAGTTTTCATGTAGGCTATTACTGTTATTTTAAATATTATATAATGTGACTAGTCAGAAACAGCTGAAAATCTACCTTAGTTTCCATGTTGAGAAGATGAAGTCCTTTTATATTCACGCCTACGTACACAGGGATGACTTTATGATTACTGGGGCTTGCCTTTGTAAATATCTGTCCTGTGAAAAAAGCTGCTCCATATGTAGGAATTTCCCAACAGTTCTGTAAGAACATGCGCTGAAGGTGATGCATTTCTTTACTGACACCTTCACTTGTACTAAGATTCTAAAAACAAATAAAGTGAAATAAAGAGATGTGAAAGGAAAATGTCCCTTTGATAATCCAAAAAGATCAACTAAGCAGTTTCTAAAATCAAGGTTACCCCAAAGAAGAATAAAATTGTTCCACACTGTCCCAAGAGCAATTTCTCTTTTGAGATCTTACATTAAAAATAGAAAGGAAAAAATATCAAGGTCTAAAAATATTGTCTGTCTAGTCTATTACATTTTTAAGTGCCTCATGAATAAAGATAATCATGTTTTTCACAGTATCTAGCATATAGAAGCTATTCAGTAAAAGATTCTACATTAGTAAAAATAAAAATATCTTGCTACTTTCCTTTTCAGGCATGCAAACTAGAAGGTCCACTTTTTATTTCAGGACTATAAATTTAATATAGTTTTGTTTAAAACATATTAATACTAACAAAATTTCAAATAGGCTATAAAATGTCTTTTTATTTAACAGCTTACCTTGTATTCATGAAGTATTCGGTTTGTCCAGTGAGGTGCCTTACTTTTCAGTTTGGTAATGGGTACAATGGATTTTAGATTTTCTTCACTGTAAGCAAATATGCCAACATCTTTTAAATAAATCATCTTTAGTAGCTTAAGTAATGTAATCACTTAGATATAAAATGGCATGATTTTTGAACTGAAAAATACTATATTGTAAAATATCAGAGAACTCTAAGCATTTTAAGTAAAGTCACCATCCTAACATTGTTCAGTTTAGAGAAATATTTCTTGTTTCCGAAACCACAAAATATTTTTGAAAATTGAAAACTACAATAAACAAACTTTAAATGTGCTAAAACCTCAGTATTTTCTGTCAACATGAAACATGAACTAGTTTTTGTGGTGAGATTCTGAAATGCATCTGCCTTAACATTTTTTTTCTGCTACTTATCCAAGTCAGGTTTTAGTAAACTTATTTAAATAAGCATATAGTAAAGAAAGATAAAGTTAACAAGTATAAGGCATATCAAACTATAGTCAAATGTAAGAAAAATAACTGGAGAGAGTATAACTTAAAGAATGCTTTACCGTAGTTTCCCACCCCCTATTCCATGCCTTATATTTAAATCCAAAGCATTGTCTAAATATTTCTTTATAACATATTTCTAAATGTTCTTGGTTAAACTGAATCTTCAGTGTAGCACAGGACCACAAATTGTATTAAATACTTACTTTAGGAAACCTTGCTTGTGTTTCTTACTCTCATAATTTCCATAAACTATTTGCAGCAGTAGACTTGCCAATGTTATCAGTTTAGCATCAGGAGCTGTATAAAAGCCCTTCAATAAATTATATCTGGCTTCATCAAAGAGAATAAGAATAGCTAATGGGTCTTCAATCTTAAAAAAAAAAGTATAATTTGGTTATTAGGCCACAATTTCCTGTTACAAATGTGCAACTATCACTAATACAAAAAAGCAAAAGCTACATATTTCCATATAAATGAGCTGTTACTGCTTTAAAGCAGAGGCTGACACATTTTTTCTGTTAACACCAAGTCAGTAATATTTTAAGCTTTGTAAGTCATATAGTTTCTGTCGAAACTACTAAACTCTGCTATTGTAGCACAAAAGCAGCCAAAGACAATACATCAACAAATTGGTGTGGTTCACTTCTACTAAAACTTTTTATATTGATACTGAAAACCGAACTTCATAAAATGTTCACATGACATGAAATAATATTCTTTTGAATTTTCTCAATCATTAACAGCTTCCAGGATATATAAAAATAGGCAACAGGTCATATATGGCAACAGGCCACAGTTTGCTAGCCTCTGATTTATAGTCCACTAAAATTATAATCAGTTTATGGATATAAGTATGGATAATTTGTAGCACAATTTCACTTAAATTCTTTATATTCCTCAAACATTTTTCTATTTTCTATGCTTCACACAATATAGTAGTAAACTCCAAAATAGAGAAAAGGAAGTGTGTCAATTCCCAGAAGGTACATGAAGTTTGAAAAAAGCTTAACATTTTTTATTCGACTAAAAAATACTTTGTACTTTCAAATAACACTAAAGGAGCACACAAGTTTTTTTAAGTTTTAAAAACTTTAAATTTTCACTTTATCTGATAAGATTAACAAAGATTGAAAAATGCTAAGCTACAGAATGTACTTCTACTTGGAAAAAATCACTATAGAGTTTCTGAATGAATACTTAAAGTATTTCCAAATATGATTCAAAATGACCCAAATTCCTTATGATAAAAATTATTCTTGACATACTAACTAAAATCATATAGTACTCCATATAATATTAAAAAAATTGAAACAAAATTTCACAGGGAAAAAGGGGATTGTTCTAGATTAAAAGAGACTAAAGAGATAGCAGTCAAATACAAAGCATGAACCTTGACTAGATCCTAAGGATGGGAGTTAGAAGAGAATTTGAAAAGTTGGGGGCAATCTGAATATGGGACTGACAGTAGATGGTATTATGAAAATATTAATTTTATTAGGTTGAAATGGTATTGTAGTACATAGGTACGTCCTTGTTCTATGTTAGAATATATAGGGAAGAAGTACCATGATGTCTGTAGCTCAATTTTAAATGGTTCACAAAGAGGAAAGATGACGTAAATGTAGTAAAAATGTTAAGAATTACTGAATTTAATGAATGGTATAAGGTGTGACTTTTATTACCTTTTCAACTTTCCTATGGGTTCTTAATTCTCAAAATAAATGTTGAGGAAAAAATGAAAGAAAACATTTTTCTAATAAAAATTGACTTAGTGAATTTGAAGAGTTTTAGTAGAGAACAGTTATAATTCCTAATAGTGTGTTCAATGCATATCAGTCAACAATTGTTCTTTTTAAATGAAAGCAGGCTCTTTTCATCCTAAAAGAATAATCCTAATCAAAAAATGCAATTCTTCTGTGTTTCAGATGGTACAAATAGGTACTTCTCAATTTCACAATGAGTATAGAGCACAACCACTTTATCAGATGATCATCATATTCTAATTTACCTTAAGTACTCAATAAGCCTTGCTTCTTTTTCACTTGAGCACACTTTACATTATTTGTAATAAGCAATTAATTTAATATCCAAGTAGTAGTATTATTGCTTTTGCTCCCAGCCAACTTTTAAACTATTACTTAGGTGGAGAAGGAAGACAGACTGAGTATACTTAGATTATTGATAGATTTCATAGACCTAATATAGTTTAAGAACTGTGTAACAGAAAAATTATCATTTTAATCACTTAGGTGTACAATTTAGTGGCATTAATTACGTTCGAAACATTGTGAACCATCACCACCATTCCCACAACATTTTCATCACCTGAAAGAAACTCTGTAACCATTAAGTCCTCATTCTCTCCTTACCACCACACCTGTGGCAACCACTAATATACTTTATTAATTTGCCTGTTTATTTAACATAAGTAGAATCATACAATATTTGTCCTTTTGTGTCTAGTTTATTTTACTTAGCATGTTTTCAGAATTCATCCATTTTATGACATGTATCAGAACTCCACTCCTCTTTATGGCTGAATAATAGTCCATTGTATGTATATACTACATTTTCTTTATCCATTTATCTATTGGTAAATACTTAGTTTTTGTCCACCATTTTCGATATTGTGAATAATGCTGTCATGAAAGTTGGCATACAGGTATATGTTTGAGTTCTTATTTCCTTCAGGTATATACCTAGGATTGCAATTGCTGGATCATATGGTATTTCTATGTCTAATTTTTTGAAGAACCACTCAACTATTTTCCACAGTGGCTGTCCAAAGTTACACTCCCACCTGAAATGTACAGGGTTCCAATTTCTTTACATCCTCATCAACACTCATCATTCTCCTTTACAAAAGTTTATTATTATAGCCATCCTAGTAGATGTGAAGCGGTTTCTTACAGTGTTTTGATTTGCATTTCCTTAATGACTTACTATGTTGAGCGTCTTCTCATGTGTTTGTTGGCTACTTTTATATCTTTATTGGAGATATGTTACTTAAGTCCTTTACCCAATTTAATTGGGTTGTCTTTTTGTTGTTGAGTTGTAGTTCTTAATATATTTTGGATAGTAAACACTTACCAGATATATGACTTGCAAATATTTTCTCCCATTCTGTAGGTCGTCTTTTTTTTTCTTGATAATGTCCCTTGATTTACAAATGTTTTTAATTTTGATGAAGTCCAACTTATCTGTTTTTTCTTTTGTTACTCATGTTTTTGGTATCATATCTAAAACTCCACGGCCAAATCTAAGGTCATGATATTTTTTGTTCTAAGAGTTTTATGCTTTCAGCTTTAATATTTAGATTGTTGATACATTCAGTTAATCTTTGTATATAAGTGTTAAGATCAGGGTCCAGTCTCATACTTTTGCATGTGAATTTCCAGTTGTCCCAGTATCATCTGCTGAAGAGACTATTCTTTCTTCAATGGATGAACTTAGCATCCTTGTCAAAAAGCAGTTGGCATTGATATATGGGTTTATTTCAGGACTCCTAATTGTATTCCACTGGTCTGTGTCTACCATTATACTGATGTCAAATTGTTTGGATTACTGTGGCTTTGTAGTAAGTAAGAAATTGGGAAATGTGAATCCCTCAACTTTATTCTTCTTTTTCAAGATTGTTTGGCTATTCAAGGCCCTCTGGGGATTGCCCTTCCCATTATAAGTCTATTGTCAGGAAACTGTGTTGTATCGGTAGATCACTTAGCTTGCATTGATATCTTAACATTAAATCTTATCCTTGAACAATTCTTGAATAATTCTTGAACATGGGATATCTTTTCAGCTACTTAGGTCTCCTTTAATTTCCTTCAGCAATGTTTTTGTAATTTTCAGTTTACAAGTCTTACATTTCTTTTGTTCAATTTATTCTGAGGTATTTTATTCTTTTAGAAGCTATTTTAATGGATTTCTTAATTTCCTTTTTTTGTAATGTTTGTTGCTGGTATATATTTATTCATTTATTTATTTTGCAGTGAGGGAGATAATTAGGTTTTATTTACTTATTTTAATGGAAGTACTGGGGATTGAACCCAGGACCTCATGCATGCTAAGCACGTATTCTACCACTGAGCTATACCCTCCCCGTTGCTGGTATGTAACAACTGATCTTTGTGTGTTGACTTTGTACCATGCAACTTTAAGCTCTAGTAGCTTTCTTGTGGATTCTTTGGAATTTCCTATATATAGGATCATGTAAAACAGACAGTTTTACTTTTTCCTTTCTAATTTAGATGCCTTTTCTTTCTTCTTTTTTTTTTTTTTGCCAGGGGTGGTGGCAGCTAATTGCTCTGGTGAGAACTTTTATGTTCAACAGCAGTAGTGAAAGGGAGCATTCTTGTCTTGCTCCTAATCTTAAGAGGAAATTTTTCAGTCTTTCTATTGAGTATGTTAGCTGTGGGTTTTCATAAATGCCATTTATCATATTGAAGAAATTACCATTTATTCCTAGTTTTCTGAGAGTTTTATCATGAAAAGGTGTTGGATTTTGTCAAATGCCTTTCCTGTGTCAACTGAGATAATCATGTGTGTTTTTTTCCTTCATTATGTTTATGTGATTCTAAAACATTTTTTGTGTAATCAAGATCATTGCTTTTGGTAGACTTCCTGCAAATTATATGTAACTCCCAGCATATTTGGCTGAGAGGATCAAATCTACTTTTAGTTTGATAAGAGGGATACTAAGAATAGTCAGGCCCAAAACTTTGCCAAGTTTGGACAAGGTCATTGAAATTTTCATTTGCTGAAATTTGCTTAATCTTGTCCATTTAATATTTCCTTGAAGAAAGAATGAGGAAATGCATTGTATATATATTTTTTCACTAAAGTTACGGGACCTTGGAGCTTTTCTTTCCTCCCAATATTCACAGCTACCACTGTATTTAGACTATCACCTAGTTTAACTTGTAATATCTCCCTTAGGGTTCTTCTCTGTCTATTCATCCTTCAGATGGCATTATCTCACCTCTCCTCTAACATTTACAGTAATTCAAATCCAAACATACTTTTTGGGGACAGACTTTTTAAAAAATCACAAGTAAACTTCATTCTCATTTTTTACTATCTGTATTCTTCTCTGCTGAGTCAAAACAGCTATCTATTAACTGTTGAGAGTAACTTTTTTATGTCCCCTTTGTAAATATAATCTTCTCTATCCAAAATGTATTTTTTATCCTGTTCAATGTTTGTGCCTTTGAAATTTACACAACTAATTAGCCCTTTATTAAGTTTCTTTGACACTGTACTCCCTTTCTACTCTTAAATTTTTTTTCTGTATGATCTGTTTCCCATCTGACTGGTAATTCTCTTTAGGATGGATTCTCCATTTCTTTTCTATTTTAAGACATTAGAGGTGGACATGGAAAAACCAACCAGGGGCTTTGTAAGTAGAATGACTCAAACTCTACCACTTACAATAGTGATGTGAGGATTGAACAGAAAAATAGAAATAAACCCTCTGTAAGGAAAGAGCACAATTTCTACCTCTAGTGCTTATAACAGGAACCCAGTAGATCCTTAACATTTAAATGACTGTAAATAAGATTTTGAAGCAAACCTTTTTCTCAACTTCCAAAGGAAGTCTCACATCTCTTCTCAGGAAAAGCTGTGGTGTTTCCCTTTGGGGATCCAGATTAGTCAATTCAGCAAGTATTTCTGGCCAGTCACGAACATGTTGCAGTGGTTTATGATAAGGCTTGAGTTGGAGGCCTGAAAAACATATTTCCTTTTATAAATGATAATGTAAAAGTGAGTCAATTATATCAACACATAGAAACTTCATATTAAACTCTCTGCACTTAAGTATTAACACACACATAAGTTAAAGGTCTAGATTTAAATCAACATTGACTTTACTCAATATTACTATCCAATTTGAAATTAATTGCTTTTGTTTTTAAGACTATAAAAATTCTGAGAATTCTTATAATGAATAAAATTCATCAAATGTATTTAGATCCTTAATTCCATGATAGCCTATTTCACTATGATACAATCAGTAGAATTTGGAGTTTAAAAAAAATACAGTTAAATCACTACATAACTAACCACAATAATCTCAGTGAAATACCTTAAGGACTTGCAATACTTTGAGAGACAAATCTATAGTGATATTAGATTAATTTTAAATAAAAAGATCTGATAGAAAACTAGTATAAAAAAAGAACAGTTTTATTATTTTGAGATGAAGTAAGCACTAAAAATAAGGGCAAGTTGGATGTACGCTGTATTTAATAGTATTTCAAATCAAATTCTATTGCCAAAGAAAAAATGTTTTGGGTTTTACCACTTCAAAATTGTATGAATTAAGGGGGGTGGTGAGGAAATAGAGGCTTACCTGTTTCAGCAGTCTGAACATAATTTATATAAAAAAAGAGCATTGTAGCACCTGAAAATTTAAAAGTCATTAATAACTGATCCTATACTTAAGTTTACCAACGCACTCTCAAAAAGGAATAATCAGGTTTATACAACAGAATAATAAGTTTCTTACTGAGATTTTCTGAACAGATCCAAATAGTGAAATACTGCTGTGTTTCTTGAGAGAGACGCATTCCTTCCATTATCTGTTGCACCGTGGTATTATTTCCATGCTTCAGTTCAACAGAACGGTATGATCCATCCATTCTGTATATTCTAACTTTTTCATACTAGGACAAAAAATTATAATAAATTATGCAACCTGGTTAGAAATTATACATCCCAATCCAACAAAATGCTTTAATTTCAACTTCATTTGCTTTATTATAGCTTTCTAATATAGAAAATATCAGAAAAACTGCTTCAAGTGAGAATCTTCTGGCAATATTTAAAAAAAAGTTTACTTTGATTATATTTTCTAACATGTTTTCCTCTGGATAGTTCATGGTCAAGTAAGTTTGAGAAACTAATGCTTTAAAAAAAAATTCAACTTCAGAATCTTCTGAGAGGGCATTTTAAAGCCATTAATGTACAATGTATATATCATATGAGAGATATAGACTTGGTTAACTAAAACTGGTGTTAGTCAAATACTTCATGTGTTCAGTGGGCCACAAATTATAATGCAGAAATGTGTACCAGCAATAATTTGTCCTAAGAGGAATCTGTGATAGAAGAATTTGCAGATAAAAGTTATGGAACAATGGACCTTGAGCTAGTTTCTTTTCTCCAGTTCAGAAAATCCCAGAGAAAAATGATATTCTCTATACATTTTTATTATGGAAAGTAACTGATGCCTCCAAACAACTTCCAGGACAGTTTAGTTTGGATAAAAGTACCCTAATTCCTCTTATCTTAGTACATTTAGATATGAAAATTATGTGAGAAATTAAAATGTGTTTTAACTATACCATCAGAAAATAAATCGCAATGAAGTATATGTAACACAAGGGTACCCGTACCACTTATCTTTCCTTGCTTCTGTCTTGTGCTCATGAAATAGTGTTTTGACAAAATGTATATGAATGTTTGTGTGAGTACTTTTCTTTAAAGGCATAAGTCATGTATTTATTATTTATCACTTATCACTTAATTTCCTAGCATTTCATGGTGGTAAATTTACAAAAATACTCAACAAACACTTATTGTCTAATTGATGGAAATGTCTGGAAAGGCTCAGACATATGGGTTATACCTGTTGGTATCAAACTTTTATCCTTTATCAGTTGTTATAAATTCTTTTATCTGATTTGCAAGTTTTCAAACAATTTTTAGAATAATAGTTTTATTGTCACTATAACTTTAAGGCATAACTCAGTTTTTTCTAATTGTTAATTATTCTCTATCTTAATGTCACTGCTAATTATTTTGGACATAATTAGATGAAAAGGCCAGGCTCAACTGGCAGAATAAAAGAGCTAGGAAATCTCCAATTTTAACCCATTCACTTTCTTGAGGAAAATGAATCTGTAATAGATAAGTAACCTGCTGAAACTCAATTACTAAATGATGTGTAGTATTATTATTTACAAACATAAAAATATTGCTTAGAAGGCCTATGTAAAGAGAGATGCTTTAATGAACAGACGTACAATTTGTAATTTTCAAGTATATCAAGTATAGGGATTACACTGGAAATTAGACTAATTTTAAGTGACTAAGAGATTTATCGATTGATTTATGCAAGAATAAATGTCTAAATATTAGGGATGATAATAAATTTAATATCTATGAAGTTTAACCATGAGGTTTTATAAAAGCAGTAAAGAAGCCATTTACACATTCATCTTTCTACACTTGCCACAGATCCTCTATTACTTATCAACTTAAATACAATGGTTGGTTTTAACTAGTATTTATGACGATAATTCTTACTGGTTTGTTAATGGCTTCCTTCAACAATTTTGCAGCTTCTTCCCAATTATTCTGTTTATTTTCTTCACAGATATTTAAAGGAGATCTTCCTTGTTGGTCTGTTATGTGCTAGAAATATGAGAAAAAAAGAAAGGTTAAAGAAAAAAGGCATTATAAATATATGAATAAGAGAAAGCATCATTTAATCAATCCAAGTTTCACAAAAAAGATCACTGTCAAGTATTAACCATACTTAGTAAATGCTATACTTAAAATAAACATGAACTACCAAAGATGAAAGACTCAAAGACCTAATCAATGTGATGATTGTTTTTTAAAGTTCTGATTATAGAGACAACAAAGCTTTGTTAAAGTTATTATTTTTCCCTTTACAAAATACTTGTTAATACAAAAATCCAAAAAATGGGTAGAAAATCTTTTTCCTTCTTAAAGATATTTCTGAGGAAATACAATATAAAATGAAAAGAGGTTACATTTTATGTACATTCTGGAGATGGATGGTGGTGATGATTGCAGAACAATGTGAATGTACTTAATGCCACTGGTATCTGTACATTTAAAAATGGCTAAAATGGTAAATTTTAAATTTTATGCGAGATATATTTTACAACTAAAAAAAAGTACAAAAGCAAAGTGTATAAATAAATATTACTTATTTTATATAGTTAGTGAAATTTGCTTCTGTTTTTCAGCTGACCTCTCAAGTGTACAGCTGAACACTTTAGTGTCAATACTTTTTATTCACTGTTTGAACATTAAAAAACAAACAAAATCTGGAAAATAACATACTCTGTCAACTTCTGGATGGTTCAGGAGAATCTGTACTATTTCAGCATGTCCTCCTCCAGCAGCAAAATGAAGAGGAGAACTAAGTTGTCCATTTAAAAGGTTTGGATTGCACTTTCCTTTCTCTAACAATATGCGGGTGGCCTCAACTTTCCCATACCTATTGAAAAAAAAAATCTAAGAAAGTCATCTGAAATGTTTAAAAATCCAAATTTTAGACAATGCCTCAAAGAAATCTACGATTTTTCTAGAGCAGAGAACAAGAAATGAAGACAGTGACGTAAATGTTTTCAGTGCTTAGGAATTTTTTATAAATTATTCTGATTCAATTCAACTGTTTCTATTTCTCATAAACAGGGAGAAAATATAATCTCAAATACAAGATAGAGCAGATGATAGAGAATGGACACAAAATACAATACAAAAGTTATAAATTACGGAGATAAAATTTTTAGTCAAAAATATTTTCAGAAGCAGAAAATAACTCAAATTTAATACTGCTTTTTATTTTGGCCTGGCTTTGATTTACAAAATAGACTCAAAGACATAATTCTACATGTAACTTCTGTATTAGGCAATGTGGGAGACACAGAAAGATATGTTAAAAGAAATGATCTCTCCTCTGGTAAAGGCTTACAACGTAAACAGAGAGGAAAACAAAAACATGGAATAAGTTATATAATGCTGTAAAATTTAAGTAACAGTTGAAGATAACAACAAAATAAGTCACTATATTTTTGTCAAATCAAAATAGTATATAATTGATGCTTTTAAAAATGTTGGAAAAGGAAGATAAGATTTCAGTCTAAGATGGTACTGAAAGTGTTTGATAGAAGAATAACTGGAACTGGATTTTAAATATGAAGGAACTGAAGAGATGCTGGTGAGGTAAAATATTTTATATTTTAGGTAATGGGAAAAGGAATAAGCAAAGCAAGGACCCGGAAGAGTACAAAGCAAGTGCTAGGCATAGTGAGCCCACCACTTGGTTAGGAAGACTAGAACAGGCTGCAATCTGAAGAAATAGTGGAAAGGTAATTCATTGTTTGGAAATAAAAGGGTAGAAGGGGAAAGAAAATTTGCTTTTAGATATGGTGCATTTGAAGGGAAAATAGCACATCTTTAGAACTGATCTGACTTGCTGTCAACTTTCCTTTCTTCTCCTTCACGTACCCTCTGGTTTTCTATGCCCTGAACCTGCCACTTATATCCTACCACTTCTTATTCATATGACCTGTTGCTCATTTGCTCATGTTCTTTGCTGTTCTTGAGATGTTCTTTTCCCCCTCCTGATTTTGTTTAGGTTAAGTTCTATTATTTCTCTTAAATAGCTTAAAATATACCTCCTCTATATTCCCACTACATTTTAGCATTTTATTTTTACCTCTTTTATGGGACTTTTCTCATTTTACCTATTTTTATCCTTGTATATATGTCTCTGTCAACCTGGAAAGTCCTTAAGGGTGGTGTCTTTGCATTCTCCAAACTGCCTTATGCACACACACAAAAAAGAGTCACTCAACTGTTCAGCTCGCAATTGAAAATGCAGACTTGGTACTCAGGAGGAAGGCAAAGGCTTGAGATATCTATCTGAGAATACGTAAATTCATCCAATTGAAAAGAATTACTGTTAAGGCTGGGAGAATGGATGAAATCTTTGAGAGAATTCTTAGAAATATGCACATCTTAGAACAATGAAATGCATCTTGAAAAACACTCATTCAGAAAAGGAAAAGATACTAAGGAAGCAATTCAAGAATAATAATAAAAATAAGTAATATAAACTACATTTTCTATGATGCTTTAAAGTTTTCAAGGGACTTTCTTATATAATTACTTAATATAATCTTCACAGCAACTTATAAGGCACGCAGAGATATTTCTGATGCACAGATGAAACAAGTGAAGTTTGAACCACTTAAGTAACTTGTCTCATGGTTATTAGCCAGATGGAATCCAGTTTTCTGAATCTTAGTAGAGCAGTTTCCATACTATAACACATGCTTAGGTCACAGAATGGAGGCTAGTATTTCAATAGTAACATTAATGATAAGGTAACAAGTATATCTTGCATTTGTACTGACATTCATTATAGCTCCATCATGCCCTTTGAACTCCAATTTGTTCTTAGAACAAAGGGGAGGTCAGCATTATTAAATGCCTCAGAGCAGAAGAAGATTTAAAAACTCAGAAAAGTTTCATGAAAAGTGAAAAAGAGAAAACAATGAGTGTGGCCCACTTACTACTGAAGTCTGGCTATGAAAGGAAGGAAAGAAACAGGATAGTGGCAAAAGGTGGAGGTTCAAATTAAGGTTCTTTTCAAGGAGGGAGAGAACCATGTATGTTTGAAGACAAGAGAAAAAAGAAAGGGCAGAAAAGGAGGAAATGAATTTAATGGAGAAAAAGAAGGATTTTTTACTTGTATACCCTATGATACAGGAGATAGATGGGAACAAAAACTGATTGGGGTGAAGAAGGACATTTCTGTTGGCTTTAATTTTCTTTGAAAATAGGGGGTAAAACTATCTGACAAAAGTAGAGAAAGAAAATAGTGGGAGTTTAAGTGCTTAAGAATAGAAAGGTTTAGAATAGCTTGCAGGGGAGGACCAAAAGGCTGACAAGATGACAGGATGAATGAGACAAAAGAGATGGCTAGCTCCAGTAAAGGCCCAAATGAAATCAGACGGAGTAATGTGTAAGGAGCCAAATCATCATAGTTCTAAAGCACTTTCTAGCAATGATAGAAAGTCTAAAAGTACTGTCACAGAGAAGACACTGATTTGAGAGAGGTGAGGAAATATGGGATATCAGTGAGACATTTACTGAGTGACACGTTTACCCACATGGGGAGAAAGCCAACATAAATAGTTTTGGAAAATGGTGATTTTAGTAAAGAAAAGTTTTTAGGCACCTGTCATCAATATGAGAATTTTTTAGGCTTGGAGCAATCCTAGGAGTGACTTAATTAAGTGGTCCCAAAAGAATGATCCGGAAATCCATGAACATCCCTGAAATCTTTTCAGGGTGTCCTCTAGGTCAAACATTTTCATAATGATACTAAGATGTTGTATGCCCTTTTCATTCTTATTTCCTCATAAGCATACAGTGGAGTTTTCTAGAAGCTACATAATGTGTAAACTGCAACAAATTAAAGGCAGACTCAGATGTGAGAATCCAGCTGTCTTCTATGAGGCTAAACAGTAAAGAGATTTGCAAGAATGTAAAACAATGCTACTTTTCTCATTAATGTTTTATTTTGGAAAATAAGGTATACTTTATAAAACTTTGTTATTTATATTAATTTATATTTATTATTATCTTAAAATGAATTAGGAAATGTTTAAAATATCATTCAGTTTTATCTTCTAATACAGTAAATAACACCATCACAGAAACCAAAACTCATTGGAATCCTGTAATTTTGAAGTATGAAAAGGAGTCCTGACACCAAAGTTTGAGAACCACTGATCTAATAAAATCCCTCACTTTTAAGATGAGAAGGCATACCAAGAGGGATAAAACATCTTGTCTAAGTTTATAAAGATAGGCTCCAAACCCCAGTCTCTTGATGAGATAGTCCAGTATTCCCCTTCTCAATCCTTGTACCAATTAGTGAATGAGAGTACATTTCCAAGACAAAGTAATTTATGTTCTTTTCTAGTTAAAATCAGTCTTCATTCAAATTCACATCAAATGATCTATCTTATTAAAAACATTGCAAGGTGACCCATACCACTCCTGGTATATTAAATTTGGTTATCATTTCCAGCTGATAGAAAATTAATTTTATTGAAGGATAAAACTTTTTCCCTTAATGTAACGCAGTAATAAGATTTTCCAAAGAAAAATACTACAGATTAATGAATTTTAAGATTTAGACATCAAAATTCTCAAATTAAAAAAAAAAACTTTAATAACAGCCATGTTTTGATGTGCTTATTACTACCAGATACCCTTTAAAGCATTTATTTGCATTTTCTCCTTTAATCTTAAGAAAGGCACTATGATTAAGCTCATCTTTTAGATAAAGACATAAATCTTTAGAGACTATAATTTGCTAAAGGTCATACTTTTAGGAACTAAAAGTTTTAGTCGGGACTGAAACCTAGGTACATTCCAAAGCACATTAAATACTATACCATACTTCTGTTTTTATGTAATAGGTAGTTGAAAATATTACCATTGTTTTAATAAAGAAAATAAACCCCTGCTGCAAAAAGGACAACAATGTAGTCAAATATAAATTTGGGATTCCTAAACTAGAATTCACTGCCTCTTTCTTTCCCAATTCCACAGTGTACTTTCCTGGAGTTTGAACTATATTCTCTACCTCCTCTTGTTTAGCTTAAGTAAAGCATGAGTTTTCTTTTGGCACTGTTGCTGCTACTGGTATTTACCAGTAATCTGAAGAAACAACTATAAGTTTAGGAGTTTGGGATTTATAGATACTGTTATATATAAAACAGATAAATAATAAGGTTACTATATAGCACAGGGAACTATATTTAATAACTTGTAATGGACTATAATAAAAAAGAATATCAAAAGGAATATATATGTATAAATTAATCACTGTGCTGTACACCAGAATTAACATATTGTAAATCAACTATACTTCAATAAAAAAAAAGTAAATAAATAGCTCTAAGTTCAGTTAAAGATTTAGGGTAACTCTTTCCAAATCTGAGTATGAAAATACCCTGTAATGAGAAAACAATTAATACATTTATAAAATAAAGGAGCATATTTTTAGGGGAACAGAAAAAAAGAGGATTTTTTTAAATAAAGGAATATATTTTAAGGAAACAGCATATTTTTAATGGAGAAAAGATATATATTAAAAGTACCTGTATTTGTTACTTGATCACAAATACTGGAATTAGTGAAATCAAAAGAATTTGAGTTGGAAATGATCTAATTAATGTATTTTACATATAGATAAATAAACTAAGATGCAGAGAGGTAAAATAACTTGCTCAATGTCTTGTAGCTAAAATGTTGTGGACATCTAACAGGAAGTAAATTAACAGGAAGTAGGTACTTCTTAAACTAGCCAAAGAAGTTTACTTTGAACAATAAATTTTATTTAAACAATTTTCAAAATCAACTTTCCCATAAGAAATAAGGTAAATAGCTTCATAACATCCCTTCTAGAGGATGGGCTATATATAGCAAACAGTTAGCTGCTGCTATGAACACAAATTTAAGAACTCAGCCCAAGATGAGTGAGAAAAGTAGGAGAGCAAGAACTACATTGGACAACTGGTGGAAAGAGCTAAACCAAATCCTATGGTAAGCTAATCCCCCTCATCTTAAAAAAAAAAAAAAAAAAAAAAAAGGAAGGTTTTAATTCTAATGGAGACTTTTTGGTGTTTTCTGATACCATAGCTTCTCAAAAAACTAAAGGAACACTTTTCTAACATGATGCAAGGTTAAATTTTAAGTGGCTAACACAGGTAAATTTTTAAGGACAAACAAATATAACTCCAGTACAAAACAACAGAAATTACAAAGGCGAATAAGGGACGGTGTGCTGTGGAGTGGCACTTGCTAGGCATTAGCTATCCTACTGCATGAGCTGGGAATGCCTGAGAACACAAGTGATACTTTGCCCATGGGATAGATTAAATCTGAGTGGTGTGGCATGTAGACAGCAATCAAAGATTACTAAAGAGAAAGCTCATAAGGCAAACATGAGAGAGAAAAAGCTGGAATGAGATAGCTTTGAAAAGAAGCACTAACATTTATAACTAAGGATTCACTGTTTCTAAAAAGAAAAGAATAAGCCATCAATTTACCAGCATGCATAATGAATAGGTGCCCAGTGGTCACTGTCTAATTGGTTGACTGAAAATCTTTCGCTGAGTAGTCGGCTTAATAATTCTGAATCTCCTTCACAGGCACTTCGATGGAGAGGAAAATCATCTACCCACTGTCGTTCCCTAATCATTAAAAACAAAACAAACAAACAAAAAGCACTGTTGAAATTTAAGTTGTTTTGAAACAAATGGGACATATCTATGAAAGCTATGTATCACTAAGCAACTGTAAACTACATCACCTATGCCACGATTACACTGCGTATTAATTGCATATATCATTTGAAACAATACTTTAACATTAGAATGTAAGTTTTTAAAAAGCAATATGGACTAAAACCAAAACAGTACTTGTCTTCTGTCACACTGCTCATGCTTCTCTGCCATTTTTCCTGTTTGGGAATTTGGATTTTTGAGTAGTCTGGAGCTCCTAGACCAAAGTATGGATTTATTACCACTTTATCTACCTAGAAAGGGAAAATAAAACAAAAACAAAAACCCTTTAAGAGCTTTAGATACTTGACTTTAATGTATATAAACAGAGTTAAGTGCAGATGTTATCTTAATGTTTATAATTAGTAAGACATGCATTTATCTCAGGGAAAAAAATTAAGTTTGAGATGAAATGTCTTTTGAAATCAGAGCCAAAATTCATTCAACTCTTACCCGGTTTGTATATTGAAGATCTGATCCGAACAACGGGTTGTAAATACAAGTATCTGCTTTCTCTAGGGCTAACATTTTACTCTTTATTTCTAGTGCACTATAGCCCATATGTAGTGAGTTTTCTGTCTGACCCGATTCAGTAGCATATGCAGGGTTTATAACGTTAGTTTTTATCCGCTCAAGAGGAGATGGTCGGAATAAAGCTGGAATAAAGTGAGATTGTGCGTGACGTTCATCTAACCACCTGGCAAAATAGAAGAGGTAATAAAAGTATTTGGTCAAAGTGAAGATAAAAAAAATTAAACTACTATCCAACTCTCATATGTGATTCTAATATTACATTCAGATTTTCATAATTTTAATTAGCATTAGTTAAGTACTTCATTTACTGTTCATAAAAGTTTTGTTAATGGACACAGCAAACTACTTTTAAATATGGATATAACATTATAATTATAAAAACCCCTTTCAAAAATCATGAAGCACCTTGCTGTTACAGAAAGACAAAGGCATGATAGGCAAAATGACTTCTTCACTGATAAGGGAAGTCAATACTACATCTAGTTTTATAACAAAGAAATCTTAATATTTAAGCCAGGGCAGTCTTTGTCATTTTTGAAGAATAAAATTAACATTTTGCAACCAAACCAGGACAATCTTGCCTTTGGGGTTTTAAATTTTTATATTATACTTCAAAAACTTACTATTTCTTAAGACATGTGCTATTAATTTTATTATTTTCTTGCAAAAGTATTTGTATCTATCAGAGCTAATTTCTACTATGAATATGTGTTTGATTTATTAAAAAATATTTTTAATGGCAGTTCTTACTTATCCAAGGCTATTAACATTCTTGCTGTAAGTGCAGCAAAGTGAGTGCTGGATTCACTACAGACTCGCATAATATCTTGTAAGCAGTAAAAAATTGGGCATCCTGGAGTATATGTATATTTAGTATTATCTGAAAAAGAAAAATGAAGAATTACGCCATCATATAAAAGGTTTATGACTGCATATTTTTTATTTTAAAATATATAGTATGTTAAAAAATTGTTGATTATAACATAAACTGTTCTAGATCTGGAACTAGAAAATTTGGATTCAAGTGGTAGCCAGCTCTCTGACCTTATCCATTTGGGTGAATATAGGATTTAGAATCTTGGAGGACTGCAGAAATTGTTTCCTCTTTCTCTTCCTCAACAATGTTGTAAAATTCTGACTAATAAGATTTCCAGTACCATTTAAAATCTGAACTTTTTAACCTAAGTTTGGCTGGGAAAAAAAAAACCTGGAATGCTAGAACTGGCTAATAAAACATGCATTAAGTATTGTGTAGCAGCAGTCTGATGAGATGTCCACAGTGGGTCATTAATATACCATCAGTCTTATTATTACCTTACATGAGGCCAATACTCTGTGGGTTCCAAAATGATTTTCACATCTAATACCTCATCAACAACTTCTAGCAGAATGAACCAACTAGGAACAGATCCCTAGCTTACAAATAAAGAGATGGGGCTTAAAGAGGTGATTTTCCCAGGGCACAAAAATAGTGGACTGTAAGGTATGCACTGAAACTCGGTATTTTCTCTATTACTCCATGATGTCAAAGGCTCCAATTAAATTTTCATATTAGATCTAAATTCCTTAAATATTACCAATATTGCTAGGCAGAGTATTTTGGAGCTATGACTGACACCTTCTCGACCCAAATACAAGATAGTTCCTGATCATAATCTGTTAATTTTCCAATATATATAAATACCTATATTATTCTATCTATAGCATCGTCTTTGTAAAATCCCTCATTATAATCTGAAAACTTTTCATTTCAGTTATGATTTCCCTCCTCACTTCTTTATTTTACTTTAAAAACAGAAACAAAAACATTACTGATCAGTCCAAAAGCCTGAATATTACTTTGAAATCAAAACATTTTTAAGTAACAAAGTTCCCCATCTTTCATTAATTTTAAACATTTGCAGATACTAACTACTATATATAAAAGAGATAAACAAGTTTCTATTGTATAGCACAGGGAACTATATTCAAAACCTTGTAGCCACTTATAATGAAAAAGAATATGAAAACAAATACATGTATGTACATGTATGACTGAAACATTATGCTGTACACCAGAAATTGACACAACATTGTAAACTGACTATACTTTAATAAAAGAAATAATAAATTTTTACAAAAATATGCATCTTACAACAGTATTACAATAGTAACTATGAATCCAAATTCTTACGTTCCTCAATAGACTTTAACTTAGCATCTAAGATACACAAAGATTCATAAGATAAAATTTAGACTTTACCTTTGACAACTGATGGAACAATAAATAATGCTGCTTCTCTGCCCATCTTCTCCCCATCCAGAGGAAATTTCTTCATTAGTACCACTCGTTTTCCTAATCATTTTTTAAAAAGTCAGTAAAGATTAAAAAAAAATGAGAGCCTTTTAAAATCTTAAAATTACTTTGAGAATTCAAAAAAAAATTTAAAGATAGCATTAAGAGGAATTAAAAAATGAAAAGTCAATTTTATTATATGCACTAATAAAAACAGGTAATTCTGATAATAATGCAAATCATTCTATGAACAATCAACCAATAGATTCACAGTACTGACTCATTAAAAGAGAAGTTACTATGCAGGGCAAGGAAAACTGTCCTACTAAGGACTGACAGAGCAGCTGAAGAGCAAGGCACCCTCAAGGTCAAAAGGTATATATTTCCTCACTCAGTTGGGCTGTAGATGCTAAGAATTTTACTAAAGTCTAAGCTGGCCAAGGAGGGTGGTATACATAAACTGCAAAGTGTTAAACTTTAGTAGCTCTTCATTTAACATTCAACCTTCACCCTCAATTTTCATTTTTATTAAAATCTGATTGCACTGCAAACTATTGTTCTGAACTGTAACCACCATTCTTAGTCTGTTTTCCTGAAGTGTTAGATACAGAATAATATTCTAATAAATTCCAGAGGCAATATTTCTTTTGTCTGGCTTGGGGTCTTGTCCCAATTAATCTTTCCTGCCTTGCTGTTTCCCCAAGCCCAGGTCTGATCTATTGTTTAAGTGCCTGGTTGGTAAATTATATATGTAAGTATGAGATGTCATGGGGGAAAAAAAAAACCCACTGATTACAACTTGAGGAATGAGGCTCCGGTCCTAACTCCTGGATTTTTGCAGGTGAAAATCTGCATTTCCATTTTCCAGGTATAAAAATGACCATATACCAATTTATAGGACCAATTTAAGAATTTCATGAATAAGTTAAGTGTGGTTTTGTAAACTATACATAGCACTGCAAAAAGGGGCACAACAGCTGCTATTATAAAGTCATTTATAATTTTCATGTGATGCTTATAATAAGAACTTGTATTACTCTATAAAATTATTTCATATATTTAGAAAAACTATTGAATTGGATAGCCAGAATATGGTATGGCTCATTAATCATCTATTTAGTTATGTAAAACCTCTATTTTACCTTATAAAAGCTGCTTGAAAATTTAATAGTGCATTCCACTGTCTTAAGTATACAATGCATAATTATGCTAGACATGTTTCAGGGTGCCTGTCTACTCATAACTTCTCCTAAGAAAAACTACCCAGCCCTCTGAGCCAGGAAGCATTTTTGTTAACAATGATACCACTTCCATCCCACTTCTGAGTGAATGAACCAAGTTGTACAGTTTGGCTAATTTATAGCAAATTATCACTTGTCTACCTCAGCTCAAATATGTGATCTGGGTTCACGCTTTGTCTCAAGAATTCAATCTAAGAATAAATCTTGATACCTGTAACGATTTAGCAATAGTAAAACAAGTCTGAATGAAAATTTATCAGAGAAGTACAAGACTGAAGTAGAAAAGCCTGAAAAATTTGCGGCACCTCAAGAGAGCCTTTCACATGCCTTGATCACTCACGGGGATAGCTGCCTTTTTAGCTAAGATTAATTTCTAGATCATTTTATTAAAAAGTCAATCTGATAATTAGAGAAAGGGGATTCTCTTTGTGGGACTCAGAATGTGTATCAAAGATCTATAAATTAATGCAGGAACTTCTTGTAATCTTGAGTTACAATGCTTGGAGTCCCAACCAACAAAACTCCTTCAGGCCCTATTGAGGAAGTTACCTATTTGGGGAGGTAAAATATGGTGAATGGTACTTCAAAAGTTATGAAACAGGCTTATAGTCCTATTTATCTCTAGAGAACAACTATCCCAAATAACCAATTAGTCTAATCACAGGATTCAGCGTTATCTGTGCAACAAAAAATAGTCTCTTAAGTGAAACACATGAATTAGACAACCAATCTCTATAAAGATGAACAGGAAAAAAAAACCACTAATAAGCTTTAAAAAACCAAAAAAGTACGCACAGAGAGGTATGCTTTACCTCACTAACAACAACTGTTTCCAGCTGCTATTTGACTGAAATTAGCTTTACCTTTTTAATTATAATGCCTGAATCCTGGCCAGAGTATATAGTTTCTATGATTTCTGACTGGCTGTCTGCTTCTCCTGAGGCTACAGCCTGAGAAAACTGATCACTGTTTAATCAGTTTCATAGCCTGTACATCATCTGATATTTTAAATGGTGCCTGAACCTTTTATGAATGTTTCTACAATTCAGTTTGGCTCTTTAAAAAAGATTTTCTTCCTGTGATCAACTGGGAAGAAAACCTCTGCTACTTAGTAATTTACAGGATTCTCTGAAATATATGAAGTCTTAATTGTTTCTTAGTTATGGAGAGAGGTTTATAGTTTTCTCTATCCTGGAGTAGAGAATTTAAAAGATACTTAACTAGGGACCTATACTTCTAGCAAAAGTAATTTGTAATTTCTTTTAGTTTTCAAGTCACCCCTTGGCTTCCTCTCTCTCTTGAACAATATAATTTAAATATTTTCAATTTTTGTTTTACTTTAAATTATTTAAATATTTCAAAAATATTTTTAACTTAAATAATTGTTAACTTCTTTTTTTAATTGCTGTAAGAATTTAGCTTTTTAAATAATTTAGGAAACAAAAAGAGGAGTTACCGAAAAAACAGTAATATTGGCCTATATATTTATCTTTCTTATTGGTTTTCTTTGTTCCTGCTTATCGCTGTGAGTTATTGTCTACTGTCCTTTAATTTCAACCTGAAAAGTCAAATAACTTCTTCAAGGGGTTTGGCTACACCTTAAAAAAACATAAATTTCTGGGTCTTTTTCAAGTTTTCCAAATGGAAAGGAACATAAAAAGAAACTGATTTTAATATATTTTTGAAAATGTCTATCTCCACAAGCATTTAAAGCCAACTGTGTTAAAAAGAAAAGTTTCTTACCTCTGATACCCTGATTTGCAGGAGAAATTGGTTTGGTGGTTTCTACTACATAATCCAATATGCCTTGTGTTATTTCACTGTTGCCTTGAAGTTTAGTTTCCAACAAAACCTTCTTTCTCTTTTTTTTCTGTCCCTCAATAGGAACTTCATGCAACAAAATCTTAAATGAGAAAAATAATATTAGGAAATGTTTAAAATAAAATTTAGTTGCTGTAGAATATAATAAGCCAGCAGTCTTTCTTAACCCTAGCTGTGTATTAGAAAAAACCTGGACGCTTTTAAAACAGTATCAATACCTATCTTCATCTCAGACCTATTAAATTAGAATGTCTGAGGGGTGGGGTCCTGGTACCAGAAGTTTTAACGTTCCCCAGGTGATGCAACAGTGCAGCTAGGCCTGAGAACCAGTAAGCCAAAACTGTTGAAGCAGCAGCCTCCTGAGAATCCCTGCAGTACACTTTAATAGGTTTCAGATAACTAACCTTACAAAAGCAATAAAAAGCAAAATGCTAGAGAAGCCAGCTGAAGTTAGATTAGATTAGAAGTATTTTATGATGCTTGAAATCTGCTGCATAGAAAAGATAACAATTCTGTTTTGGGTTTTTCTTTTTTTGGTATCAATCAAGTTTACTAATATATGTAATACAATTCAGGACTACAGAGAAGTAACTTAATTGCCTAAAACTTAATAAAAGGTAAAAATGTATTTTAAAATGAACCGTTAAAAATAGTTCTTTGGGAAAATAACAAAGAACAATGTTTAGATTGGAATTTTGAATAAGCTGAATTTTGCAATTTTTTTAAATGTTTAAGTGCCATTCCATAACTGTACTAAAAACCAAACTGTTATAAATTATAGAACTCAAACAAGTACCTTTAAATATCTAATAACTTATTTGTGTCAATGAATAGAAAAATGGTCAAAACATGCAGCAATAAAAAAGACATGATGATGGGCAGAGAGCTAGGATTGTCAATTCTATTTTGTCAAGGTAAAAGTTGTCAACAAGAATTTACAAGCTATGGTAATACTTCACAAGTAAATGAAAATGATAATGGAGAATGCCATTCAATGGTAGCAAATCGAATGTTAGTAAATTGTTCTCACTTCATATGACTTAGCTCTGTATTCCCGAGAATTGAGACTGGCAGCATTCTTTGGACGAATAACAGCAACATACGCATCTTCTATGTTTTCTGGATTTCCCATTGCTTTATAAAACAAAGAAACCCTTGAAAGATTAAATCAGAAGACACACTCACTTTGAAAAATAATTTAAAAAATAAAATGTTGATTTTTCTATCTCAGAATATATACACTACCTAAAAAGCAAGTCAGAGATGACTGTATCTTACCATTGAACTATTCAAAACCTTAGCTTATAATTTAAGATTACCTTGTGGTCCTTTTTTCCTTTTCTATTAAAGGTAGTTTTTTAAAATGGGGATACATACTTTCATAGGTCTTAACAGCATAAGAATCGGTCTTATGGACCTAAAAAAAGGTGATACGATTATAAAATGTCTTGTAAATACTAAGTAAATAATGACTTGAAATAGTAATTCAGCATAATACACACTTATTTTCCATAAATTGCAAGTGAATGTTAGATTGTTAATAGTTTGGAAGCTGGAAATAGGTAGCTGCCATTGACATTCTTTCCAGTCTCTAGAAAGAACTTTGATATGTGACATTTGGATGAGCTAAAGTATACTGTATAATTTTCATTGGAGGTGCCTATCACAGAGTCAAAAACATTCAGTTAGTTGATGAAAGCTTTCTGATGATGACTTAAGAATATTTTCCACTTCCTTTATCAATTCCCTAGATAATTGAAAACTTTTCTTCCAGACACACACACACACCCCTACCTACATATGCACACTTTTCCCCTGGACTAATTTTAAGTCTCTGTTGGGCAATTTCCAACAAGTAACTGAATTTCAAGTGCTTTCTTGGTTGTTGATTAGTTCTATCTCCTCATTAACTGCTACTATTAATTTTTTTATGGCTAGACTAAAATACTTCTCTTTGTATTGAATATATTTTATTTATTCTAAAAAAAAAAAACTTCCTCTCATTTATATGCCAGTAAATTTCTAAAAGAACATCAAAAAAGGAGTTGCTTTCCTGGCCATAATGAGATGAACATCCTTCAGTGTTTTTTTAAAGCCCATTAGGCATTAAAATGATCTGTTCATATTTAATGAGTTCCTTATTGCTCCAACTCTCATACAAGAAAAAGAAATCAAGTAATTCTTAGTTTTCTAAACACAGTCTAAAGCAGATCAGTTCTTGTGCTGGTCTACTCATATTAAAAAAAAATCTATCAGCAAAATGCTTTATTTGATAATACTTACCACTTCTCCAGAATATTTGATATCATACATCAATTTTTAAAATATAAACAAATATAATTTTTTTTAAAAACCATGAGGATTGTAAGTATTTTGTTTTTACACCATTTGATGTTAACAAACTCCCAAAGAGTCTAAAAAATGATTTTCAAGAAATATTCATACTTGAAACATTTGAAATAACATGAAAAAAGGAAACAAAGTCTTAAGTTAGGAAAAGAAGAAAAGCTACTAATATATGCAAGCAAAACTGCTAAGGCAGGAACACATGCAAAGGTCCTGGAAGAGAGCAATTTGAGCCAAAAATAATAGAGAAAGGTATAACTAGAGTTTGCAACATGTTTTAGACAAGGGTTTAAGTGACTAAGTATAGGAAATGTGTGGCATTTTGTTATATGGATCATTCTATTCTGGAAAATGCTTAGGTATAAATAATATGCTGCCTGACTAGTGAGGCCTTTATGAGGAAGCAGTTCTCAGTTGGGGATTTTACCTACCTGGGATCATTTGAAAATATGTAAGGGCATTTCTTTCTAGTCACTATGACTGGGGAGAGATGCGGTGTACAGATGCCCCCATGTGGCAGGTTTGTCAACATCTCTTTACTACGCTAGACAGTCTTGTTGAACAACATGCCAATAATGTCTTTAATAAGAAACATTCGCTATATAAAGTACAGATGGACAAACTCAAAAAGCCTTTTGCAATGGAAAAAAAAAAGATGATTTAGTACATGAATATGGTTATTGTAAACCTAGTGAGCAAAAGACAAAACTGACAAGATGATTTACCAGTTTGCAAAGTAGATGCTAACAGAAATTACCAACAATGATCAGAAAGTGTAACTTCATGAATAAAACCCAAAAAATGGAGCATTATCTTAAAGTTCTGTAGATGTTCCTAAGACAGAAAATGATTCCCCCTTCCTCCATCCTTATGCAATGTTTCTCAACCTTTTAAAATCCATGCTAAGTTTAAATAACCAAATCAAACCAAAAAAACCCTTATCAATCTGCATAGTTGAAAATTGCTGATAAAATGTATTTTCTTTTTATACCCATCAGCCAATATGATTTTATCAAGATGTCCTTAAGTTTTTATTGCATTTACTTTCTAAATATATTTAATATGCTTTTAGAATAATATGAATAATTGCAAACACCTATAATGTTTAATATGTGCTATACACTGTGCTAAGTGCTTTACATGTATTAACTCACTTTATTCTCCCCCAAACCTGATGAAGTAGGTATTTTTAATTGTTATCTCTGTTTTATAGGTGAAAAAAACTGAGGTAGAGTAGCTAAGTTACTTACCTCTTCTCTATTTTCCTGGAACAGTTTAATATTTTATAGCATTAGAACATTAGAGAGATGGCAACTAAATATCAGTAAGAATTTCCATACAGGGATTTGTTGACCATTAAAAACTTCATCCTTTTGCTACACAAATTGGTGTATGGTAATAAAGAGAGAGGAATAATAAAGCAGAATAGAAAATAGTCATCGGTGTGACTTAGCTTGCTTTTTCCTTGCCCTTTCAACAAATTCTACCAGTCATCACTTTACCAATATCAACAAGCATCAGTAATTTTCAAATTCTTTCTGTTAAATGACATTCTGTTCTGTAATTTAAGATATTTAATAATCCTCAAATAACTTTTGAAGGCAATTATACTAAATCTGGCTAACAGAGAAGGAACTAAGTAATACTGGAACTGGGAACCAAATGAATTCCTATAGTGAACTACAAGTACATTTACGGAGGTTATATGCGGTAGCATGATTTCATCCGCAGTATATCTAAATATGCTTTATTATCAGCTCCTACTGTAGTTCTACAACCTAATTCTAAGGGGAAACCAACTGACACATTACACATGGGATTAAGGGAAGGATACCATGGAATGAATAATTTGTTTTTATATTGTTACGAAAACGTTTTGACATTTCCTCCAAATAACATGAGGACGTCAAAGCATTTAAGACGTAAGGTAGAGAGAAGCATTTGCAAACAATTTGTGAAGACATATAAGCTCTCCAAGAGTGAGAGGGGAATGGAGGTGAGATACTGAGTCAGGTAAGCTAGATCAAAGATTTCTGGTGAAGCTAAAAACACATGGAGAAACTAGCAAAGAAGGAAAGTTAAGAGCCTTAGCGAAGTTTTTGTTGGAGAGAGGTGCAGAGAGGAGCGGCGAGCTGCAAGGGCAAGCTGTGAATGCTTTCCCTGAAATGACAAAAATAAACACTCTGCTTAGGAGGTTTTTCCTCCGCCACCACCCATTAACGTCCACTACCAGGAAAGGACGAGCATGCCTCTTTGCTCAAAGAGCTGCCTCCCATAAAGTGGCTTTGGCTTCTCGGTAACTGCTTGTAAGAAATAAAAGTCCTCGCCTGGAGAAACTAGATGTGGATGGAGATAGTTAAGCCTCCCACCTCTCTGTTTTCTCTCGCTGGAGTCTGGATCGTGCTCCTCCCCGTCTCACCTGTGAGGGAGGCCGAGCACCTCCCGGGCCGCTACATTCAACTCACTGGGTGGGACAGCCACCTGCGGGGGCGGGGGACCGTCACGGCTTTCTCATTCCTCCTTCCCTTCTCGTTCCCAGCGGCCGGGCCCAACTTCCTGTGACGGGAAAACACTCGATCACCACTAGAAGCCGATCGGCTCCGCTCTCCACCCCGCGGCTGGAGGGCTCGGCTCTCTGGACTCGGAGAACCTCTTGCTCACAAGCTCTCTATTGTCCTTTCCTCTCCTCGCACCTCAACGCTATGCACCCCTCACCCTCTCCCGAAACTAGAGGACTCGGGTCTTCAAGGCCCTTAGCTTTCCCTCCCGCAGCTACCGGGGCGAAGAGATCACTTCCGGGTTCACATCCCTTGCAGCCTCGCGGTTGGTGGCGGAAGAGCTTCCGGGTTGGCGGCCGAGCTGCTGCTGTTCCTGCCGCTTCTCTTAGGCAGCAGGCTGTCTGGGGCTGGTGGTGGACGGCTCGAGGACTGGTGTGGCGGCGGCGGCGGGCGTGCTAGTGGCAGAGCCGGAGGCAGTGGAGGGAAGGAGGGCGGTCCGGCCTGTGCGCGCGCGGGCGCGCGCAAGACTGGAGCATGAGCCGGACTTGACCGCGAGGCGGAGGCAAG